GAGCCACTGGGGACACAGAGGGCTTGGGGGACCGCAGTCAGTCCCGCCCCGGGAAGTCCCCATCCAGGATGCGACTCTGGCCTCGGGATTCTTCTCCCTCTCCCGGGGCTCCCAGGAAGGGAGACGAGTGGTGCACAAATGAAAATGTAACGACAGAAATCAAATGAACAGAAATCAGAAACCAAAATGAACAAACTCACTCTGCTCCCATTACCAACAGAAAACATGAACTGTATCCACTACACCAGACCAACCACGGAGACTGCTCTAGTGGAATAAAATGTTAAATGAGAAAACACAAAATGAATAGGAATGGTGGCAGGAAACAAAATAAAATAGAAAAAGTACAAAGTAATCAAAATGGAAAAAGAAAAACAAATTTGACTAAAACGACAGCAGCAGGATCTGATTCTTCCTCCGGATTCCTCTCCCTCTCCAGGGCTCCCCCAGGAAGGGTCAGCAGGGCTGACGTCTGGGAGACCTGAGCCAGCAGCTGACACAGATCAGCTCTCCCGGCTCTGACTCCTTGAGCACACACGAACATGAAACCAACAGAAATAAAAGCACAAAATGGACAAAGTCAGCTCACATCACCAACAGAAAACATGAACTAAATGAACTCAACTAGACTCACAACTGAGAATAACCCTATCAAACCAGTTAAAAGTGAGAAACACAAAAAAGGAATAATACAGCATAAAGAAAATATCCCAAGAACCTTAACTGTATAACAACCTAAGCAGATGGCCTCATAGTCATATTAAAAAAAAAAGAAGGGAATAAAAATGAGAAAAAAAACTAAAAGGGAACAAAAGGAAACCCAACAATGGGAGAAAATATAAAGAACAACAAACAAGAGGAAAGCCAAGGAAAAAAGTGAAGAAAAAATCCAAATGGAAATGAAATATCCTAGGAAAATCAATAAGAAAGGGAAAAAGACTATGAATGCTGGAGGAAATCAAAATAAACAAAATAGAAAAAAAGAACACAATAATCAAAACAGAAAAAGAAAAAATAAATTTGACCAAAACAACAGCAGCAGGTGAACATAAACCAAACAAGGGAAACAAAGGCAGCTGTTCCCAGCCCCAGGTCACCGGGACAGCGCTCCCTGGGCAAATGACAGAACCCAGGCCAAGCCAAGGCTTTGTGCTGGCAGCGGGCATGACGTCACAATGGCGCCTTCTGATGTCAGAGCAGGAAACCGCAGCTGGTGCTGCCCTCTGCTGGTTTGCACAGGAACCTTTCCACTTGAGTGAGACAAAGACTGCACAATTCTGTCTTGGGTTGAAGAGAGTGATATTGGTGTTTTGAGAAATTAAACCGTGTAGGGTATTTCAAACTCTTTTCATTTCTTGGATTAAAATCTTTCCTAATGTTTGCCTTTGAAGACTCAATGTATCCACTCCTTTCATTCAACCCCTGAATGATCCTCTCAAACCATGGTGCAGCATCACTGGCATCGCGACGCTACATAAAATGTTCTGTCACTCAAGTCAGCGGTGCTGTGACGGAGCTGTAAAGCCACGGCTCACGGGGCCTGCGTCCCGTGTGAGTGTCTACTCATGTCCCAGATGCTCCACTTTTTTTAAAGGGATTTATTTATTTATTTGAAGGCAGATGGGGGAGGACAGAGAGAGGGAGACAGAGGAGGTCCTCGTGTTAGCACCACAAACTCTGCACAGCAGGAGCCCCAGCAAACATGACTGACCTGGGCCATCCCACAGGCTACCAGTGTGCAACCTGATGGGGAGTCCTTTTCCTACAGAGGCTGCAGGGGGGCTCCTACAGGTCCTGGTGTCCCTGCCTCCCTGAGCCTTGGGCTCTGCATTTGGTCTGCCCCTACCCTTGGGCCTGGCATCAGGGCTGGACATGGCCTGGAGACCTGGTGCCAGATGTGAGGAAAGAAGCCTGACCCAGGGGCCCGATGTCCCTGGTACGGGTCCCTTTAACACTGGAAGGCCCCATTCTGCCCCTGATGACCAGTTAGCGTCTGCCACCCTCCTGACAGGGACAGCCCCATGCTCCAATCTCCCCCAACCACAGACACCGTGCAGTGTCCTCCCTTACACACACCCACTCTGAAGTTGAAACTCGGTGGGTGCAAAGGACCAGGGGCAGAGGTGGCAGCAGATCCCTCCCTGGTGGCCTGGTCAGCGCCCAAGGCTGTGACCGCTGTTGGGCCTGTTCTTCCCCTGCTCCAGCCTCCTGGAGGGGCGCTCACGGGCAGAGGCGGCTGTGCCTCTTGGGATGAGGTCACTGCCGAGGGCAGGCGAGTCCAGCTTCTGCGGTCACCCTGTGGTAGGTCAGCTGCTGAGCGTCTGTCCCCGCAGGCTGTCACAGGATGGTGACCCTGATGGCAGGTGGTGGTGTCCCTGCAGGTGCACCTGCTGAGGGTTCCGTCCCTGACTCAGACTTGTTCTGCCACCTGCAGAGCTGTCACTGGCCATTGGCTATTGTGGCTCAACAACAGTGGGGCCATGGTGGGGGCCATGCAGCCTTGCCGCCTGCCTGGGCTGAGCTCTGCCTTTGGAGTGAGCTTTGAGCAGTGACAGGGGTGCACAGAGCTGCCCTGGGGGCTCCGTGGTGAGCAGCGGGAGGTGCCCCACCCACATCCACTGCTCCTCTGCTCCTGGAGGCGCTGTGCAGCACCGGGTCTGTCTGCCTTGTCCTCCTCATGGGCCAGGGCCTGGGGGGTCTGGGCCACGCCCCCACACCACAGCCACAGGTCTGCCTCAGGGCTGGAGGGCCAACCCCAACCCACAGGAGCAGTGGAGGTGCTGCCAGCGCCTCCTCACTGATGCACAGGGCCGTGTGCTGCAGGGGCCAGCATCGCTGTAGACTGCAGGATTTGACGCTTGCAGGGCCGGCTCAGGTCCTGCCTCTTCCTGCAGGCGGTTAGCACGACTGCGGGGGGCCTTCCGGGAAATGGGCACCACATCAAACAAAGCAGAGAAACCCATGTGGAAGTGGCAGCTCGTGGGCTCCCTAAAGCCCTTTATGGCACTGAGACCCCGGGTGCTGGGCTCCCCACTCCTGGTCACAGACGCCTTGGGCCCAGGTGTTCCTGCGCTGAGCAGTTTCCTTCACACAGGAGCAGGTGCTGGCAGAGGCCGGGGCCGCCCCTCTGGAGATGAGGACCTGGGGGTTGGGGGGCCGGAGTCAGCCCAGGTGGTGCTGTGTCTGCTCCCACCCTGGGGGAGCTGCAGCCTGCTAGGGGGGAACCACACTCCCACAGCCAGAGCGGAGCCCACAGGGCCCCAGGAAGCCCCTTCTCCCTCTCTCTGCTGCCCGTGCCCTGGCCCCTCCTGCCAGCCTGGGCAGACGAGGCACAAGCACCCGGGCCACCTGCTCAGCCCAGAGCTCACCCCGAGGCCTTCCTGCGGGCTGGCCCTGCACCTTGTACCCAGCAGGCTCCCGTTCTCCTGAGACCTCCCCACGTCCACGTGGTTGTCAGAGAGCACTGGGCTTTGGTAAGGCAGAACTGGGGGCCTAGTCAGAGGTCCTGCACCCCAGCCTGAAGAGGACACCCTCAGCTCCAGGCCTGCTCCTAGCTCTGCCCAAACTCCTGTCTCATAAAATCCCCACACTAATGCAGGCCCAGGTTCAACATTCCCTGGGACCCAGGCAAGTCAATACAAAATATTCCTGATATTGAACACCTGAATCTCCCCAGGGAGATGCCCAGAACGCTCTATCTTCCAGCCAGCAGGTGTTTCGAATCCCAGGGCGAGTGTGGGAGATGCCACTCAGCGCCCATGGCCCCATTAGTATGCAGCTGCTCAGTGGCCGCCTGTGCAAGGGGCAGCTTCCGTGTCTCTGTCCACACAGCCACGGGGGCCCTCTTGGTTCTCACGGTCCACAGCCGGGATCAGCAGAGTGCTCAGAGGATGCCTGACTGTGCTCCTTGTCCCCTGCCCCACAGGGAAGCTTCCAGAACACAGAAATCCCAGACCCCGCATCTCTCACACCTGTGCACCTAGTAAGGTCCCCAGAGGATTCAGAATCTCTTCCAGCCACAGTTCCCTGGAAGCCAAATCACGTACAAGAGAATGATGCCGGCAAAGGGGCCTGTCAGGGGGAGGGGCTCACCTGCGCTGGCGTCTGCCAAGTCTCGGGGTGGCCATCTGCACAGCAGAAAACCAGGAGAGCTGGGAGCGGGCACAGACTGAGTCCACAGGACCCAGGACCCAGCAGCAACTGGGTTCTTCTCGGTCTCGGGCTGCAGCCGGGAGTCCCAGGATCACGGGTGTGAGTTCCGGAGTGGAAAAGCCACAGCACCGGGGGCTCTGAGTCCTGAGGGGGGAGCACTGAGACACGCAGGCTCCATGAGAGCCCTGAGCTCGCCCCTGCCCTGCGGCCCTGTTCTCTCCGAGTTCTGGGTGGGCAGGGTGGTGCTGCCCACGGCGAGGGCGGATCCCCACGGTGCTGGACGCACTCATCTGGGCTCCAAGAATCTCACAGACACACGGGTCGCTCAGTCTTTCCCATCCCGGGGACAGGAGAGGGCGAACTCACCACGTGGATAGGCTCTGAGGCTCCACCCTGGGCTGGGCGCCCCCTGCCTCTCCAGATATCTTCATTGGCAGCACCCGAACAACCGTCCCAGCTCAGTGGCCGGGGTCAACAGAGAGCCGCAGCACCAAGATCCTAAAACAAGTCTTTGCACTCGGACGTTTGTAATTCGATTGAAAGGTCACCCAGCCACCTCACTTTACCTCTAGTCAGAAGAATGACGTCACGGGAAGCCTTACCAGGTGCTAAAGAAAATTCACGGGAAGACATGGACTTGGACCAGGCACATGCACTGGGCCAACACCGCACTCAGCTTCATCCTGGCACTGTGCTGTGGCTGCGGCACCAGGCCCCGTAGCCAGGTCACTACTTAGGCTGTGAGCAATTAACTAGTTCAGCCGTGGCCGCCCTGCAGCTGTGGGCACTGCCTGGAGCCATGGCGCTGATCTCGGCACCCACTTCCCGTGTCCAGCAGTGCTGTGCACCTGTCGTGGATGAGCAACCTCAGAACCTGCTCCGTGTCTGAAGCTGCCTGGTTCTTGTATCATCGTTGTTGTACGATGCTCTTCTCAGATACACTCCACTCCATGTACTGGCCTAAGGACGTTCCTCTGTCACAGGTGGAGCTGTCTCCTCCACACTGAACCCCTGGGCCCAGGGCTGGCAGCTGCTCCCGGGTGCTGACGCCCCGGCTCTGCCCCAGCTGCTCCCTGTGTGGGGCAGGAATCAGCAGCCACCTGGGCCTGGGAGGAACCGCTCACTGGGGAGGGGCCTGGCTCTTCATCTCGGCCTCAGTTTCCCTGTTTGTGAAGGAGGGGCCAATGCCCACAGCCCAGGTCTGCAGGGGTGGGGCTGAGGCTGTGACTGTAAGCTGAGCCTGAGGCAGAGGCCCAGCTCCACAGGGAGCCAGGGAGACAGTGGGGGAGGGGCGGCAGCCCTGGACCTGGAGCCTGAGCCCCCCAACCCCGGGGGTGGGGTGATTGCTCTGCCTCCCTGGTGTCAGGGAAGGGCACACAGGCAGACTGTCATGTGGGCATCGAGATGCCAGAACTCACTCCCCCTGCACACACAGGAGGAGGAGGGGCCTGCGGATGGACGTCCCCAGGGAGCCCTGAACCACTGAAGATCAAGGACACTGGGCCCCTCCCCCACGACCCTGATTCACTCTGCCTGGTGTCTGTGCCCGGATGGGGACAGAGGCTGTGAGAGAGAGAGAGAGACAGACAGACAGAGACAGAGAGAGAAGTCTTCCTTTGCCATTGGATCACCCTCCAATGGCCGCGGCGGCTGGCGCGCTGCGGCCTGGAGCACCGCCTTAATCCGAAGGCAGGAGCCAGGTGCTTCTCCTGGTCTCCCATGGGGTGCAGAGCCCAAGCACTTGGGCCATCCTCCACTGCACTCCCGGGCCACAGCAGAGAGCTGGCCTGGAAGAGGGGCAACCGGGACAGAATCCAGCGCCCTGACCGGGACTAGAACCCAGTGTGCCGGCGCCGCAATGCGGCGGATTAGCCTGTTGAGCCGGGGCACTGGCCGGGGCTCATCTTAAGCAGTGACCTTGTAGCCTTCAGTACTTTCCTAAATAGTAGAGACCCCATCTCTCCAGTGCTGCCTTGGGGTGCACTTTGGGCACCCTCCAAGTCTCCCTATGCCAGGCTCCCCTGTGTCTCCTGCCCTGTGGGGTCTCTGGGGCTCTGATTCCCCAGCAGCGCCCACGCAGCCAGGAGGGAGCAGCCCCGGCCACGCTAGCACTTCCTACTCAGGCTCACTGGGCCTGCTTCAGACCCTCCCTCCGCTCTCCCAGGGCTCGGTCTGCAGACGCCCTGGTCAGGGAGAGGAAAGCCAGGGAGAAAGAAAGGGATCCGAGTCCAGTGTCTCTGTCACTGCGCCATCTGCAGCCTCCCTGAGCCCAGCTCTCACACAGTGAGCTCGATAGAGACAGGTGTGCACCTAGAACCAGTGTGCGGGACGCCTCACAGGGTCACATCCACGGTACATGAGTGATACCTCAAAGGAAGGCTCCATACAATAAGGGATATGAAAGACAAGACAGGCAAGAAGGAGTGTTTGGGCTCAGTGCTGTGACGTGGTGGCTAAAGCTGCTGTGTGGGCCTGCATCCTACAGGGGTAGGGGAAGGGCCCGAACCCACAGCTTATCCACGTAGGGCCCAAGGGGACCCTCTTCCCCGGGCCCCTTGCCACCTCGCTTTGCTCAGAAGGCTGTGGAAGGCCAGGGTGCTGCCAGGGGCTCTGTGAAGCCCCAGGCACTGGCCCACCCCAATCCTCTGCTGAGCAAGTCCCACCTGCAGCCGTCTGAGTCCACACCTGGCCAACCCCGCACACCAGGACGTCAGGCTCCAGGCCCTGGGGTCCTCGTGTTGCCCAGTGACAACGCAGGGGGACACGGGCATGGGCTATCGCAGCTCTTCTCAGACATGACTCTGTACTAGGAGCTCCCTGGGTGCCCGGAGCTCAGCGCCCACCCCTTCCTGTGCATCTGCAACCCCACAGGCTGTGGGCCTGTCCCTCCCCAACCCCCGCCTCTGGGAGCCATCAGTCTCTTCTGGCTTCAGGGTCACCTCTCTGGAATCCCCAAGAAGTGGCATCGGGCAGCACCGGTCTTTGCGTGGCCATCCCTGTGCCAGACAACTGAACCGACAGTTCCACGGCGCACACGGGGATCCAGGCATCACCTGGAACCCGACCCTGCGCACAGCTAGGATTTTTATTCATGAGAATCATTCACAAAAGGCTGAAGCCAACAACCCTCAGGCAGCTCGGCTCCAGGGCCCCTCCCCTCGAGGGCCGCCCTGCAGGAGGCTACGGGGGAGCCCCGTCTGTGCCCCTGACCCCAGGGTCCTCCTCGCTGGCCGGCAGGATGCAACACGCCCGCAGGAGGAACCTGACCATCCTCCTGCCCACGCCCCAGCAGCCCCGGCTCTTGTCCGAGGCAGTGGCTGAGGTCCCAGCCGCCTGCCCTGGTTGCCCTCTTGGGACAGCTTCGTGCTCTGCCGCTCCCCAGGGGTGCGTCCCTTCTTCCAGGGGCCCCTCACTGCTGCCGGGGCTGAGCGGGGAGGCGGAGGCCCCAGGGCCTGTGAGGGGGCTCAGCCCGGGCCCGGGGCTCCGCATCTGCGGCTGGCCAGCCTGGGGACAGTCGGGCATGGGGGCTGCACTGCAGGCCTGTGGCTCTGCCTCCTGGTGGTCTCGTGGCAGCTGGAGTTGGGAGGAGGGGGGCGCTGGCTGACTTGTGATCTTCCTCAGGTTCCTGGGCACAGGGTGGCTCCGCAGAACACTGAGGCTAGGAGGGGAGAGTCTGGCCTGAGATATGGGCTCCACCCTCGGGTGGCCCTTGTGGGAGACTGGTGTGACAGACATGGCGCCGTCACATTGATTGTTGGACAGGGACTCCTCTCCACTGCCTGGCTCAAAGGCCAGGCCTGCCAGGTACTCTTGGGTTTCAGAATCCTGGGTGGATCCCAGAGGCTCCACATGGGTTATCTCGGGTTTTTCTGGGCCTCTGCCAAGCCACCAGTGGCCCATGATTTCTTCCACTGTGGGCCTCTCCCTGGCGTCCACACTCAGTAATTTACTGAGGAGCTCTTTAAGTGCTGTGCTTGTATGAGCCGGAAGCAGGTAACGTCCGCCCAGGACGCGGGCCTCCAGCTCCCGCAGGTTCCTGCCATAGAAGGGCAGGGCCCCCGTCAGCATGGCGTACAGGACCACCCCCAGGCTCCAGACGTCAGCCTTGAAGCCATCGTGCTCTTGCTGCAGGAACACTTCCGGGGCACAATACTTGGGCGTCCCGCAAAACGTGTCCAGCCGTTGGCCCTCGGCGACGCGGCAGCTCAGGCCGAAGTCGACCAGTTTAATGTTGAGGCCGGCGTCCAGCAGCAGGTTGCCCAGCTTCAGGTCTCTGTGCACCACACGGCGCCCGTGGCAGTAGTGCACGGCCGACAGGATCTGGCCGAACAGGAAGCGGGCCTCTTCCTCCCACAGGTGGCCACGCTCTGCCACGTAGCAGCGCAGCTCACCCCGGCTGGCATACTCCATGATGAGGTAGGTGCAGTCGGCTGTGTGCCTCACCTCCAGCAACTCAATGATGTGCGGGTGGTGCAGGCCCTTCATGAGGTCCACCTCGCCCAGCAGCTTCTGCAAGCTGGCTGAGTCCTCAGGGTCTCTCGGGATGACCTTCACGGCCACCTCGCTCCCTGTTCTCAGGTGGAGGGCCAGCTGCACGTGGCTGAAGCTGCCCTGGCCAATGAAGCACAGGAGCCTGTACCCCTCCAGGACATCCGCTTCCTCCTGGAAGGCCATGGGGCCTTTCACCGTGTTCTTCCCTCACTGCAAGTGTGACTCAGCACAACATCGCGACCCCCACTGAGACTACAACCAGGGGACTAACCACGCTGCTCCAACAACAGTAACCGCATGGACACCAACACTAAGCAGTGAGACTAAGTACGATCTAAGTTTTACATATGAGGACAACTGCCAAGAAAAATCTATATTAACTGCACAATGCTAATAAGTCTAATGATGCTATCTACATACAAATGGAGAAAAACAAACAATGAAAACTACTGCAAAGAAAAAAAAATGGGAAAAAGAAATGCATAGAGCAAAAAACACAGGTGCAAGCCTGAACTCAGTCCAAGTCCAAAAGGTCACGAAATACAGCTCCCCATGCAAGCAGGACAAAAGTGCGCCCAGGGCCTCTGCAGACCTCTGGAGTCACCAAGAACAGCTCCGTGTGAAGTCAGAGCAAGAAACGGACAGTCAGCCACAGCCCAGCCTCGGGGAATTCCTCAAGAACCTTCCCACCTAAATAAAAACAAGGGCTCCCAAAGCTTTTTGCTTTGGTGAGTGATCTAAATTGATTTTTATTTTGTGAGAAATTAAAACCTGTAGGATATTTTAACTGCCTTTTCACCTCTGGCTTAAAAATCCACTAAAAAACAACATCAAACACCTCCTGGCTTGTGAAGACCTGGTAACATCTACACCGGAACCAGCTGCTCCGTTTTCTTTCACCTCTGAATGGCAGAACCAGAATGATGGCGCCACCATGCTGGCATCCTGACACACGGCACAAGGCTCTGCCTCCAGGCACCATCAGGTGCATCATCAGTGTCCCAGAAGAGGCAGTCAGTTCCCCCACGTTCACCTTCAGAGCCCTGCTCAGAAACCCTGGAGGACACAGTGGGCTGACGCAGCCCCGTGGGGAAGGCCAAGTGAATGTCTACCAAGCGATCTGCGGCCTCCAAAGCTGTGCTCACACCGCGGGCAGAAGGCGAGGCGTTCCGCTGTCCCAGTCCTGCAGGCCACCGTAACCCCAGACCTGAACCTGGGCAACTGAAAGACAGACCAGACATTTATTTCTCACTGTTATGGAGGCTGAGAAGTCGAAGATCAAGACATCAGCAGGGCCGATGTTCAAAAAGGGCTCTCTGCCTACATCTAACGTGCCACCTTCTTCACAGAGAAAAACAGCTGGTGGCCTGGCGGGGTCAGTTTAAGCTATGTACATATGTTGAAAATTGTGCACATACTACATCTTGGTCCAAAACTCAAGAAAACTTTTAAATACAAAGGATCTGAGTCTGGTGTTGTGGCACAGCCGGTTAAGCCACTGCCCGTGATGCCAGCTTTCCACATGAGCACTGGTTAGAGTCCCGGATGCTCCACTTCTGATCCAGCTCCCTGCTAATGCACCCAGGAGGACACAGATGGAGTCACTCCTACTGTCCAGGAAACTGGAACACTGCCCTCATCAGCCTCTAAATTCCCCACTCCTCAACACTGTGGCATTGGGCATGAAGCTTCAACGTGACGACTGGAGGGACACGGACATTCAGACCACAGCCCTAGAGACACCAAGGCCAGAGGAGTTTGTCCCCAGTAGATCTGACCTGATGGACCCCAGACAGGCGCTCAAAGCTGCAGGAGGAAATGAGGCCTGTGCAGAGGCTGGTCGCCTTGTGCGTTCAGCGCATGCCAAGGGCGTCTGTTCACACACTACTGGAGCCCATGAGTGCACAGGCCACGCAGGCTCACCCAAACCAAGAGCACACTCGCCACCTGCTTTCAGCAGTGACCGACAGGTGTCACTACAGAGATCTCTCACCTCTGGCTATGTCAGCGTTCAGGCATGTCCGTTTTCTTGACTGCAGCTACTGTAAATGGAACTGCTTCCTTCATCTCTTTTCCGAGGGCTCACGATCAGTACATAATGGCGCTATTAGTCTTTGTACACTGACTTTGTGTCAGACAGCTCTGCTGAATTTATTAGCTCTAGCAGCATTTCGTGGAGTCTTTGGGGTTTTCCACTTATAAAATCACATACATCACTTGTTGACAATTCGGCTTCCTCCTTTCCAAATGAATGCCATTTCTTTCTCTTGTCCAACTGCCCTAACCAGCACTGCCCGTACTGCGCAGAATGAAATGTGAATGGTGTGTGTGTGTACCTGTGTGCTATTATATACTTAACCCCAAGTCCATGCATGGGCTAAGCACCACAGGCACCAGGGCTGCATGGTAGCCAAGTCCACTGTCACAGCACATGGATTTCAGATGGGCACGGGACAGTCACCAGGGACGAGGACAGCTAGTGAGCCCCGTGTTCCTGAGCCTCTTCCTTTTCCCTAGCGAGCAGGAAACACGTATGCACCTCAGTCTCAGCTCAGTCCTTCCCGGTAATCAGTGTGCACACAAGCATCCCCTCGCAGGGTGTGCCGGCTCCCAGAGCACAGGGAAGTGGTGAGAGACAGAAAAGGGTACAAAGTTACACTTATGCGGGGAAAATGAGCCTAGAGAGCTAATGTGGCGCTGTCATTAATGATATATTGTGTCCTGGAGATTTGCTACAAATAGATTTTGGAGACTTAGCAACACAAAGCAAGGCCGCCCTGTGAGATGATGGGTATGTTAACTTGTTGACTGTAATAATTGTCTCCCTCTGCACTTGTCTATCAACAAATCAGGTGACTATATTTAATAAATACGATAGACTGTATTACAACTAGGAAAATAAATTTTTGAAAAATGTTTAAATTGGAAGACAAGCCATGTCCACAGAACACATGCCTAGCAGTACTTTTCAGGAAACAACTGGGAAAAAAACAAACCTTTCTAGAAATACCATTCATCAGTCAGAACATGGGCTTATGGGTCGGTAGTAGCACAGCACATGAAGCCACTGTCTGCAGTGCTGGCTTCCCATACAGGCACTGGTTCAGGTCCTGGCTGCTCCACTTCCCATCCAGCTCCCTGCTAATGCACCTGGGAAAGCAGCAGAAAATGGCCCAAATGCTTGGGCCCCTGCATCCATGTGGGAGACCTGTTAGAAGCAAGCTCCTGGCTTCACCCTGGCTCAGCCCTGGCCATCGCAGCCACCTCTCTGTAATTTTGACATTCAAATAAACAAATAAGAAGGGGCCAGTGCTATGGCATAGTAGGCTGTTTCTGCCCATAGCACCAGCATACTGTATGGGTGCTTGTTCATGTCCTGGCTGCTCCTTTTCTGATCCAGCTCTCTGTTACGGCCTGGGAAAACCGTAGAGGATGGCCCAAGTGCTTGGGCCCCTGCACCTGCTGTGGGAGACCCAGAAGTTGTTTCTGGCTCTTGACTGGCCCAGTGGCCATTGGGGAGTGAGCCAGCGGATAATGACTTCTCTCTCTGTCTCCCTCTGTCTGTAACTCTGCCTCTCAAATAAATAAAATCTTAAAAAATCATTTGAAAAACATTTTTTTAAAAAAGAACATGGGCTTACAATCAACTTTGGTCAAGTAAATAAACAGAATAAGAAAGGGGGTCCCAAATTTTAAAAGGTGATTTCTGACACCACGCAGGACAGTTAAGAATCCTGTCCCAAAATGGCAGAGGAAGAGCAGAGTGTCAACACCAAAGACTAAGAGAAAAATCCCCCGAGCAGGGGCAGTGTTGACTGGCCCAGGCCATGTGCTCTCGCTGCTTCCTCTGAGGAGGAGACGGGCCAGGCATCGCCTGTTGAGTGATCACAACCGCCTACCAGGAGCTGCACGGCTGAGTCTGCAGCAAGGATCTGACCGTCTGCAACCCCTTTCACCGTCTCCAAAACCAGTGCCGACGCAGGGCCTGCTGCCAGCGCTGGGAAAGCAATGCACACCTCTCCTCGCCAAAGGCCTGGATGCGCTTACCACGCTCATAGTGCAGGAATGTGCTGCTCTGTGCAGAGCGACCGTCTAGGGCCAAGACCAAAACACAGCAAAGAACAACTCCAGACACAGACTCCCCACAGAGGACGAAGCACTTGATTCACCCCAGAGCTCCCGCAGGGGCCTGCAAACTGCAGATGCCATACATCAGAAGGCAAATTCAAGTGCTTATACTTCACATTCACTTACGCTTTAGTCTTAAAGGAGGAATAGAAGAGTAATAAAACTGAGCAATGGCACACATAAAAAAAAAAAAAAAAAAGATGCTACTGAGTAGTTCTTAACAAATGCCAGCTGGCAAGCAGAAAGCCAAATCTGCGTCAAACACCGACATTCTGGAGTGTCCTAAGTTAAAATGCAGGCTGAAAGACCCAGAAATTGAGGATGTCCTCCCTCCTCCAGAGCAGTGCTTCCGGGTTCTCCCTGAAGTGCTTTCCAGGGCCGCAGGTGGGCGGGTGAGGAGGTGGTGCAGGGCTGCCTCACCCACCCCAGGGAAACCCACTCCCCAGCCCCTCGGAGCTCGGTGTCCTGCTGCCTTCCAGCCACGGATGGACGCGGGACCAGCACGGCCCTACAGGGGCTTGACCACACTCATGAGCTGCTGTCTCTGGCGGCTCGCTCTCACATCCTGAAGAGAAAACTTCCTTGCCCTCGGTTTTTCACTGGTTCTGTCAATCTGCTGAGGCTGTATGACGTAACAAAGTACCACAGACAAGGCGGCTGAACCACAGATTTGTTTTCTCACCATGCTGGAGGCTGGAAGCCCACAATCACGGCCAGCAGCACTGGCTTCTGTTGAGGGCCCTCTAGCTGCCTGCACACGGCTGTCAGCCTCCAGTCCTCACACGACACTGTCCTCTGTGCACACGTGCGGAGTCTCTTCTCCTCCCACAGCACGCAGCAGTACTGCGTAAGGACCCCACTCCTAGGACTTCACTTACCCCCAGCTACAGCCTGCCTCCAACGGCAGGGGTACCTTCCAGGACCTTCCTGTGTGCCTGAAACCACAGGGAGCCCCGACTCCTGCATGCAGCATGTCGTCATCACACGCACATGCCTGAGGTACAGTGAGTTATACAGCAGGCACAGTGAGAGAACAACTCTAACAGTGCACTGCACTACGTATTACGTGGGCCACAACTGACAACAGAAGGGAACCCCACCACGTGAAGCTGCGTGGCCCGAGACTCAGACAGTGGGGGACCTGTGAGCGCTGTTAAAGGCCCCTCTCCCAGTACAGTCAGACTGGGGGAGGCGAAGGCCAAAGCAGCACTTTCGGAAAAAGCATCAGACAGAAGTGCAGGGAGAGCGCTGGAAGGATGGAGGCGAGCGGTCTGCCAGTGAGGGAAGATCCACACAGAACAAGATGTGCAGCCGTGACGGGCAGCGGCTCGAGGCGGGCACAGGTCTCCCTCCCTGGGTGCTGCTCCTTAGCCTCTCACGTGCACCCTACGGGTGTTCTTCTGGGATTACATGGTACTCGTGGTGCCGCTCTCCGCCCCAGGCTCACGCCTGTGCACCGCAGCTTTCAAGCCGGCAGGAAGCGGCCTCTCCCTGCAGTTGCGAGCCGGACTCCAGGCGCCGCCCTCACTCGGGCGCACCAGCACCTATCTTTTCATTGGATTCTTGCCTTTAGCCCGTGCCTGTTTTCCTGCTGAACTATGGTCTTTTTATTTGTTGAACTCCTTATTTAGCAGATCCATTAAGCCTTTGACTGTAAGGTAAATTAAAAAGACAGGATGCAAAAGAAAATGACAAAATAGTAAGTTAAACAACTCTGCAATCAGAAGCCTTTCTGGTCCCAGCATTCTGGACCCAGGGTGCTTCTCCTGTGTTCTGAAAGCACAGGAGGCCAGGCAGAGGTCCGGGCTGGGCGATCGCTCCAGCCACCCTGCACCACGGGATCCCGATGAGGGGGCCACCCTGAGAGAAGACGGGTCTCCAAGTCAGAGACGCGCAGAGTGCAGGAAACAAAGCCCGTCCCCCCCTCCCCGTGTTCCCGGGAGCTCGCGTGCACTTTTCAGCAGGGCAGACCATCGTCCACCAGGCTGCTGGAATTTGTGCTGGTTTGTTCACTGCTTCTCGGTGTCCTTGAAGTCTCCCCTGCGGCAGACGGGCACTGCATCACAGTGGCCGTGCAAGGTAGCCCGAGTCAG